GAAACGTTGTGAATATGACAATGAAGATAAGGATAACAGTTCGAGTTACATAAATAATGCAAGTGATCATAATACCTCATCTCAGAGATATAGAGGCCGAGACATTGTGAATATGGCAATGAAGATGGGAACAGCAGTCCGAATAATGTCAATGATGCAAGTAATAATAATACCTCATCTCAGAGATATAGACAGAAAAATCATTTTGCAACAAGACTTTAAAAATAATATTTTTTATTTTTATTTATTTATTTTTGTGTGGGGACGTACATGTGGGGTTTTGAGGTTGAATCACGATTAATAAAAACAGAATTTTATTTTTTATGCAAATAAACATAGCACTCCTCTACCCACCCCCTAAAAAAACGAAAAGAGAAAAGATACGCATTTTCGTTAACTCGATGCAAGTCAGTTTGCAGTAAACATGCTTATGTGCCAGGGCAGTTTGTAGAAGATAAATGTAGATTAATCGATAGCGTAGAGTTTATCGGGCCGTAAAATAGACTCGGTAAGCCGGGTTCAAATTTCAGCCTCGTCCTTGGGAGAGTCCTGAAACTATTTCCTCTCCTTTGCGTAATCTGAGCTCATTAGCCTGGCCTGGTAGCCAGTCTAGAAAAATGAGAACAGTGAATTCAAAACCGCATAGAAAGTAACGGAAAAGAGCTCCACAACCTTTCACTAGGGAATCATACCACTTCACAAACAATGAAGAAAAAGGAATCTGTGGAGAGTCATGATCACCTACATCCTGAAGGGACATGGCATAGATGACTACTCTGAATTCAAAATCATGGAGAAGGCAACGGGAAACTACTCCACTCTCTTTCCCAAGAAGTCATGGCAATTCACAGATAATAAAGAAAAAGGAATCTGTGGAGAGCCATGATCACCTACATCCTGAAGGGACATGGTATAGATGACTACTCTGAATTCAAAACTATGGAGAAGGCAAAAGGAAACTACTCCACTATCTTTCCCAAGAAGTCATGGCAATTCACAGACAATAAAGAAAAAGGAATCTGTGGAGAGCCATGATCACCTACATCCTGAAGGGACATGGCATAGATGACTACTCTGAATTCAAAACTATGGAGAAGGCAACGGGAAACTACTCCACTATCTTTCCCAAGTGGTCATGGCAATTCACAGATAATAAAGAAAAAGGAATCTGTGGAGAGCCATGATCACCTACATCCTGAAGGGACATGGTATAGATGACTACTCTGAATTCAAAACCATGGAGAAGACAAAGGGAGACCACTCCACTATCTTTCCCAAGAAGTCATGGCAATTCACAGATAATAAAGAAAAAGGAATCTGTGGAGAGCCATGATCACCTACATCCTGAAGGGACATGGCATAGATGACTACTCTGAATTCAAAACCATGGAGAAGGCAACGGGAAACTACTCCACTATCTTTCCTAAGAAGTCATGGCAATTCACAGATAATAAAGAAAAAGGAATCTGTGGAGAGCCATGATCGCCTATATCCTGAAGGGACATGGCATAGATGACTACTCTGAATTCAAAACCATGGAGACGGCAACGGGAAACTACTCCACTATCTTTCCCAAGAATTCATGGCAATTCTTAGATAATAAAGAAAATGGAATCTGTGGAGAGCCATGATCACCTACATCCTGAAGGGACATGGCATAGATGACTACTCTGAATTCAAAACCATGGAGAAAGCAACGGCAAATCACTCCACTATTTTTCCCAAGAGGTCATGGCAATTCACAGATAATAAAGAAAAAGGAATCTGTGGAGAGCCATGATCACCTACATCCTAAAGGGACATGGCATAGATGAATACTCTGAATTCAAAACTATGGAGAAGGCAACGGGAAACTACTCCACTATCTTTCCCAAGTGGTCATGGCAATTCACAGGCAATAGAGAAAAAGGAATCTGTGGAGAGCCATGATCACCTACATCCTGAAGGGACATGGTATAGATGACTACTCTGAATTCAAAACCATGGAGAAGACAAAGGGAGACCACTCCACTATCTTTCCCAAGAAGTCATGGCAATTCCCAGATAATAAAGAAAAAGGAATCTGTGGAGAGCCATGATCGCCTACATCCTGAAGGGACATGGCATAGATGACTACTCTGAATTCAAAACCATGGAGAAGGCAAAGGAAAACCACTCCAATCTCTTTCCCAAGAAGTCATGGCAATTCACAGATAATAAAGAAAAAGGAATCTGTGGAGAGCCATAATCGCCTACATCCTGAAGGGACATGGCATAGATGACTACTCTGAATTCAAAACTATGGAGAAGCCAAAAGGAAACTACTCCACTATCTTTCCCAAGAATTCATGGCAATTCACAGATAATAAAGAAAATGGAAGCTGTGGAGAGCCATGATCACCTACATCCTGACGGTTCAAAGCTTAATCTAAGACAATTTTGCTATTACACGATTTGGACAATTTTGCTGTTACACCCTCTGTGTGTGTGTGTGTGTGTGTGTGTGTGTGTGTGTGTGTGTGTGTGTGTGTGTGTGTGTGTGTAACTTTTTCTGATCCACTCTCAAAAACTGACTCCCGTGCATACAAGGACACTAATGCTTTCTTTAGATGGTATCAGTATGAATAAATATATTTTAATCAATTGGTGCATCCACTCATCGTATATGTTTTTTGTTTTTTTTTTGTTTATTTTTATTACAACTACACATTTCAGAAATAAAAGATAGAAGAAGTAGTCGTTTCTGGTGAAATGGTGTGAATTACAGAAAATAGAAAAATGCTCCTTGACTCGGAAAATGAGTTGTCCGAGGATTGATGGGTCTCTTCCCGAAGGACACTGATGATCGATTTTTACAAAAATAATCTCCAGTGGCCTCAAAGCAAATAGTTCGCCTCCACTGTCCCAATATTGGAATCAAGAAGCCTTTTCTCTGCTTACTTGCTGCTGCTATTTGCCACTGTGAATCCTTTTTCTACTCATTTATGACGTCTGGTGACTGAAAATGAACTCTGAGATCAACATCACAGACCCACTTACTAGACGTATTGAAATTGTACATGCCAAAATCAAGATCATGGCGAATTTCGTTTTGGAAGGGACCTTGGTGTATAGAGGATTTGACAAAATATTTATTTGACAAAATATATATGCCTGCTTAATATCAAAAGCTGCTTTTTATCTTATCATTTTTGATCGCAAAGGAAAACATTGGACAAGTTTGTACTAAAGTCTTTAGGTTGTTTTTATACTTGAGTCTATATGAAATTACAGGTTGTGTTTATACTTGAGTCCACTTGTAACCATAGAACGTATTTATATTTCAGTCTGACGGTACGTTAGTCTTATCCTTGCGACTATCAGTCAGTTATATGCCATGCATGATACACGCTTAGGCGATCATCTTTCGATACCTGGTTGATGAGGCAGATTTTTTTCCAGCAGTAGATTGCCTTTTCTTTCTGTGGTAAACCAGTTGCCATCCCAGTGTGTCCTGCTATTTACACATTGCTGGGAGGAGAAGAAGAGGATTCATAACTTTCCCAAGGGTATTACCACGTAAGTGAATAACGGTCAGTTATGAGCCATGCGTGATACACGCTTAGGCGATCATGTATCTTTTGATACATGACTGACGAGGCAGATTTTTTCTCGCAGTAGGTTGCCATTTCTTTCTGCGGTAGACCTGTTGCCATCAAAAGGCTATAGAATCCGGTCTGTCCTGTTATTTACCCATAGCTAGGAGGAGAAGAAGAGGAGTCATACCTTTCCTAAGGGTCAGTCAGTCAGTTATGTGTCATGCGTGATTCACGCTTAGGCGATCATGTATCTTTCGATACATTACTGACGAGGCAATATTTTTCCCGCAGTAGATTGCCATTTCTTTCTGCTATTCATCCATAAAAGAAGATGATTCATACTTTTCCCAAGGGAATTAGAACATAAGTGAATGTATTAGATTCGACTGGAATTCGAACTCAGCTCTCCGATTCCTCAATTCCAGACACTATCCATTACTCCACCATGCCTCTTCACCTTGAGGTTATGTGTAAGAATATAATACATTTTTTATTCAATAAAAAGCTTAACCGTAGTACCTTGTCTGTCGTTTTTAATGAAACATGCATAAACGAAGGATTGCTGCCTAAATATACAAGTATGTATGTATGTATGTATACACTTCAATCTTCCATGAATCTCATACATTCATAACTGCTCATAGCGTATCAAATGTAAACAAATGACGTCATACATTAATAAATGACGTCATACATACGAGATTCATGGAAGATTGAAGTTTATAAGCAGTAAATTCGACCTTGCTTACCGAACGCTCCTTTGTGGCCGAGTCGGTTACGGCAAGTCAGCGTAAATGACTGTTCTGTATAGGATGCAGGTTCGAATCCTGTCAAAGGACGAATATTTTCTATGAAAATTTCTCGGACATTCAGGCCGGTAAATGTTATTTAATACTGTTTATTATAAACAGAGCATTTACTTAAATACTTGTATCTATAAAAAGAATGTTAAACATAAAAATGTCTTCAATAAATTGTCGGACTTTGTCCAATTCTTAATATATATATATATATTAAACAAAAACAGACTTTGTGGTCGAGACAAAGTGTGTGTGTGTCCTTTCATTGTAATTGCGTACCGTTTTTTTTCTCCTGCTTTTCCCTCTCTTAAAAAACGATAACACTTTCTCGTCTCGAACATCTTTATCTCTTTTGACATGGTCTTGTCAAACTTTTCCTGGTCAACGACCTCTCAACTACTGAAAGATTCTCATTCACGTACCTGGCAAATTCTTATCTCATTAGCGCATCTTCCATTTTCTGCTCAGTCTTTTGAAATAATTAACCAATCTACAATGATAACATGAAAAATCATCACATCCTGAAGGTATTACGTTAATGTAAAAATGATCGACATTTTTTCGCATAGAATTCATTTAGTTTTGACAATCAGTTTCTATAACAGCACAGCGTGGAAGTCGGATTCCTGAGAAATCGTTTAACATGAAATACTCCCCCTCCCTCACACCATTTAATGTAAAGTGTCAGCTTTACGCTGTGGGATTTTAAAAATGGGCGTTTGCTTATCTTAGACACCCTCAAGCTCTACAGTTCTCATTTTCCTTTTTAATATTTTTTTTTACAATGATGTTCACCCTGTACAAGGCCCAAGAGCCACTTGAGATAGAAGGTTAGCAGAGTTTATAGGGATATGTGGGGAAGATAACAGTTGGCCCTAGACTTGAAAAAGATAAGATTATAATGAACGGACGAAGCCTCCACTTCAGTATAAGGCGGTGAAACTGACACAGAAAAGTATAGAATTTAAGAACGTAAATGGATTTAGAAAGAAAAGAAATTAAATCATTTCCAACTGTTGTCGACACACTGGCGCATTCCTTTTGAAAAAAAAATGAACTGTAAAGCTAGGGAGAAACAAACACCCATTTTGAAAATCGCACAGCGTGAACGGGATTGTTAATGGTTAAATTATAAAAATACATACACACACACACACACACACACACACATATATATATATATATATATATATATATATATATATATATATATATGCATGTTTCATTAAAACGACAGACAAGGTACTACGGTTGAGCTTTTTATTTAATTTTTCTTGTGTTCTGACAAGAGCTTTTCTTTTCTGGACAAAGGACAAAAGAAGTGTCCGAATGTTCTGTATTTCCGAGCGCTTTCGGCTATACCTTTAGCCATTATCAAGGATGATTCGATTATCTGCTTAGTAGAGTGTGTGCCTTCTGTGTATGTTCGGTGTGTGGTAGTGATGTTTTTAGTTTCCGAATACGGTTAGCACACGGATTAAGCGGCACAATAAAATAAATAAATAAATAAAAGCTGTAAAGCTGGGAAATGTCCAAGGGAAACAAACGTCCATTTTTAAAATCACACAACGTGAGCGGAATTGTTAATGGTTAAATTATAAAAAAATAATTTGTTCACTTTTCAGGTCTTAAATTATGTAGAAATTTTCCCAATGTTTTGTGTGTCCGAGTACTTTCGGCTATACTTTTCGCCATTATCAAAGATAATTTTTAATTTTTACTTCCAATTAAATACATGGATTGTTTTATTCCATGTATCTAGAGTTATAGGAAAACTTTATTTTCTAAACACAATCAGCACATTCTGGCCGTGTTCATAGTTCATATTATTGAGTATTGTCTTGTCAGTCGTTTTCAATGAAACTGACAAGTACGCACACACACACACACATACACACAACGCCACCCCCTATACACTCATATATATATATATATATATATATATATATATATAGTCAGGGAAACAACTTCGTTGGTATAAAATCCAATTGGATCCTACTAATATAAGATAATAAACTGATCCACAAAACGAGTTCAACATATTTATTAGTACAGACCATTTCAGTCAGTTATGTGTCATGCGGGATACACGCTTAGGCACTTTCGATACATGACTGACGAGGCAGATTTTTTCCCGCTATACGTTGCCATTTCTTTGTTGCCATAGAACGCGGTTTTTTTAACCTGTGTTGGTCAAACAGTCTCTTTTAAGTTGTTATTTAAGATAAGAGCTGGATGGATTCATGCTGCTCTGAATTCCCTTGGTCATTTTGATAGTTTTATTGGTTCCTGGAAAGGAGATGTGTATCTGTTAGGTTTGTCTGTGTTATTTGGTTCTTAGGAAGTGAGCGAGTATGATGTGTGTAAGTGTGTATATCTCTCTATATATCTAATTCAGTCCATCTCTGTCTATCTTTTTCTTTCTTTATCTGTCTGTAGCTCCTCTCTCTCTCTCTCTCTCTCTCTCTCTATATATATATATATATATATATATATATATATATATATATATATATATATATATATATATATATAACGTCGATAAAACGACTCAGGAGTTTCATGCAGTTGCACAATCATCAGGTGCTGAATACTGATGATTGTGTAAATGCATGAAACTCTTCAGACGTGGGATATTATGTGCATTCATTAATATACATATCTATATATATATATATATATATATATATATATATATATATATATATATATAGAGAGAGAGAGAGAGAGAGAGAGAGTAAATAGATGTAGAAAGAGAGAGAGAAAATAATGAGATAAATAGATGTACTAAATGTGGACACAGAAGTCAATACGCGAGATTCCTGACAGTCTTTAACGACTAAAATGTATACTTTTAAAACAACATACGCTCTATATATATATATATATATATATATTAATATATATAATATAGTATATATATAAAACAATATTTTATATTGTATCCATGATCATAGTTAATATTATTGAGTTTTGTTTTTATTTGTTTGTTTTTATCAATAAGTCTTCCATTATTTTAGCCTTTTTTTTGCATGTGGACGATACTATTATATTTATAGATTGGGTCTCCCACCATAAACCTCTTGATCTGGGGCAGCATTATCCCGTCAAAGTATTTGATGTAGACCTCCGTGTTTAGTCTGAAGATCTATGGGAAGAGGAATGGAGGCATAACATTCCCATCACTAGTGATCACTCCAAACACCTTCGTAATCACAATTAGACTCATCCAACTCTTTCCGAATCCTCTGCACTGACTTCCAAACACTGAAATGTTCGTATTGGAGATTTCGGTGTGAATGCCAAGAAATACAGCATGCCGTTTCCAAATTTCTGGCGGAGTGAATGGTTTCATGGTGCTCTTTTTTTCATAGACAGTGCCCAACTAACCTTGTTGTACTACGTAGTGGACAACATCAAATAAAACATGTTGCGAATAGGGTCACGCTACATCATACCTCAATTATGTCTCACTTAAATAATCATGGGGACATTCCGGACACGATTCGCAACATACTTGTTGATAATAATAGCAATTTCTACATGTAAAAAAGGCTAAATATAATGGAAACTTTATTAATAAAAACATAAACAAACACTCAATAATATCAACTAAGGATGTGGGAACAATATCTTGACCGTGTTTTGAAAATAAACGATTCTATAATGCTAAAATATATATATATATATATATATATATATATATATATATATATATATAATATTACAAAGAGTTAATCATACCTTGAATCAATTAGCAATATTAATGCAATTATTGGCGAAATCCGTTCGCTAGTAGACATAATTATAAGTATTATACTACTAATAATCCACTAAATGATGAGATCCTTATGTATAAAACGGATATGGTGTATTTTTTTAATTTAGCTAGTACTTTCAAAGACCTCTGTCGCTATCATCAGGCTGTATTGTTTTCCTTTAGAATAAAAACTGGAAGACGAAATAAATGTGTCGCAGACCGAAAGATGTTTTTAAGAATGAGCTATTTATTAACGGTTGTGTAATGTCGGAGCGTGCAAGTCGCAACGCTAAAGTTCAAATATTTCAAGTGAGAATTTAGTAATTTGGTAAATCCACGAATTTTTTTATTATAAGTGTTTTTCAGATAATATGACATGAACTAAATAGATAGGTCAATTAACAGAGTAGTAGTTTTTTTATCAGGAATTCTTTACTGCGGATCCATTATTTTTCAGGAAGATAATAATATATATATATATGTATATATATATAAAATAAATATATATCTAGCTGTAAATATATATAGTAAATAAGATAAATATATACCTAGCAATAAGTATATATAATATATAACATAAATATATATCTAGCTATAAATATATAAAATAAATATATATCTGGCTATGAATATATATAATATATATAAAATTATATATCTAGCTATAAATATATATAATATATAAAATAACTATATATTTAGATATAAGTATATATAATATATATAAAATATATATCTAGATATAAATATGTATAATATATATATATAATATATATCTAGCTATTAATATATAAAATATAAATATATAATTATATATCTAGCTATAACTATATATAATATATAAAATAAATATGATCTAGCGATAAATATATATAATATATATATAAAATATATATCTTGCTATAAAAATATATATAAATATATATATATATGTATATATATATACATATATATATATCTATAAATATATATATATATATAATATATATAAAATATATATCTAGACATGAATCTATATAATATATAAAATAAATATATATCTGGCTATAAACATATATAATATATAAAATAAATATGATCTAGCTATAAATGTTTATGATATATATAATTATATATCTGGCTGTAAATATATATAATATATAAAATAAATATATATTTGACTATGAATATATATTTTATACAAAATATTTATGTAGCTATAAAACTGTATAATATATAAAATAAATATATATATAGCTATAAATATATATATATATAGCATAAATATATACATATAGCTAAAATATGTAATATATAATATAAATATAAATATAGCTATAAATTTATATAATATAAAAACATAAATATATATCTAGTAATTTATAAATCTATATAATATATAAAATAAATATATATCTAAAATAAATATTTATCAAATCTATGTAATTTATGTAATTTATAAAATAAATATATATCTACCTATCAATTTATATTATATATAAAATAAATATTTATCTAGCTATGAATCTATGTAATTTATAAAATAAATATATATCTACCTATCAATCTATATTATATATAAAATAAATATTTATCTAGCTATGAATCTATGTAATTTATAAAATAAATATATATCTAGCTATAAATGTATATGATATATAAAATAAATATATATCTAGCTATAAACCTATATAATACATAAAATAAATATATATCTAGCTATAAAACTATATGATATATAAAATAAATATATAGCTAGCTAAAATCTATATAGTATATAAAATAATTATATATATAGCTATAAATGTATATAATATATAAAATACATATATATCTAGCTATAAATCTTTATAATATATAAAATAAATATATATCAAGGTATAAATCGATATAATATATAAAATAATATATATATATATATATATATATATATATATAGCTATAAATGTATGTAATATATGAAATAAATATATATCCAGCTAAAATCTATATAATATATAAAAAATTATATATAGACATAAATCTATATAATATATAAAATAAATATATAGCTAGCTATAAATCTTTATAATATTTAAAATAAATATATATAAAGCTATAAACCTAGCTATCTGTGCAGGTAGTTCATTGTCTATCTGAGTTTAATGATATTGTCTATGTTCTTTGTATCCAAATCTCATCCAGTTTTTTTCTTTCTAATAGATGGATTATTTAACGCCCCTCTCTTTGATATTTAAAACTTCTTCCTATCTATCCGGATCTGCTGGCACATACTGAGATCATCGGAAGTTTCGCTCTTCGTCTGTCTATCCAGCAAAGCTTATTCCGAGTCGATCTATTTTTATCCGTAAATTGTCCTTAATATAATTCACTTGGCCTCTGTTTCATGATCTTGATTCCGGCTCAACCCTATCAATCGTGTCGGCATTGATCAAGAAACAGGACCAAGATAGACTGAGATAACTACTGCCTGTTTACTTGAAGTAGTTTCTACAGACTTATACCATTGAATATTATCTAACTGACATATCATCTTACTTACTTCCTATCTATCTATCTATCTATCTATCTATCTATCTCAGTCTGTTCATATCTATCTATCTATCTATCTATCTATCTATTTTCTTATTCTTTCTCATTCTATTCATAGCTATCTATCTAGCTGTCTGTCTCAGAATGTTGATATCTATCTGCCTATCTGTCTCTGTTGATATCTATCTATCTATCTATCTATCTATCTATCTATCTATCTATCTATCTATCTATCTTTTCAGTCTCTTCATATCTATCTATCTATCTATCTATCTATCTATCTATCTATCTATCTGTGTGTCTGTCTGTCTGTCTATCTATCTATTGTCTTATTCTTTCTGTCTGTTCATAGCTATCTATCTATCTAGCTCTCTGTCTGTTTCAGAATGTTGATATCTATCTATCTATCTATCTATCTATCTATCTATTGTCTTATTCTTTCTCAATTTATTCATATCTATCTAGCTACCTAGCTAGCTATATATATATATATATCTATTCGGTAAGACTTCGATGGGTCTAATTGTGATTATGAAAGTATTTGGAGTGGTCACGAGAGATGATGACATTATGCCTCCATTCATCTTCCGACAGGGTCTCAGACTCAACACAGAGGCTTACATCAAGTGCCTTGAGGAAGTAGTGCTGACCTGAGTCAAGAGGGTGACTGCTGGAAGACCTGGAACAGGACTCTGCACCATGCCACACAAGCAGGAGAACCTAGTCTGACAATTTCTGCGACCTCATCACCCCTTGCATCTGAGCACCTAACACCCCAGACTGCAATCCCCCTTCATTATTATTATTATATGTGGAGTGCAGTTGAGGAAGAGACCAACAAAGTTCCTTCTAACACCAAAGATGAACTGAAGGCAAGGATTATGGCAGCATTCACCAACTTAAGGAGGCCGTCCAAAAGAGTTGCAGGAGATTCCTATTTCGTCTGGAGGCCGTGGTTGAAGCCAATGGCGATTTTATTGAATAAAATTTACTCTTTAGTATTTCAAGATATTTTTCTCTAATTTTGGTAAATATATCTGTTAAAATGTAGATAGATAGAAAGATATTTCAGCCTGTTCTATCTATCTATCTATCTATCTATCTATCTATCTATCTATCTATCTCTCTCTCTCTATATATATATATATATATATATATATATATATATATATACATATATATGTGTGTGAGTGTGTGTGTGTGTATACGCGTCTGTGTGAGTGTATATGTCATTCTCTCTCTTATCTATTTATCTATGCATGTAAATCTAATGATTAAGTATATATTTAATACTGTCATAGTCGGTTCATATCTGTTTACTCTCTATTTATGTCTATTCATATCAATATCAATCAATTAATCTATCTATCTATCTATCTATCTATCTATATATATATATATATATATATATATATATATAGGGTGTGTGTGTGTGTTTATGTCTGTCTCTCAGCCTATCTATCTATCTATCTAATTCTCTTCCTATCTGTCAATATTTCTCAATGTCATTCTCTCTCATCTTATTCATATCTATTGCATTGTCTCAGTCTATTCATATCTATGAATTTATATATATATATATATATATATGTATGCATAAATATCTGTCTATCTATCTATCTATCTAGATAGCTAGCTAGCTAGCTATATATATATATATATATATATATATATATATATATATATATATATATATAGTCTCAGCTTATTCATATGTATATATAATTATCATTCTCTCAGCTTATTCATATCTATCTATAATTCTGTTTATTACTATCTGTCATTTTATATCTATCTCAGTCTCTTCACATCTATCTATCTATCTATCTATCTATCTATCTATATATATATATATATATATATATATATATATATATGTATATATATATATATATCATTCTCTCATCTTATTTATATCTATCTATAATTCTGTTTGTTACTATCTATCTCAGTCATTTTAGATCTATCTTAGTCTCATCATATCTGTCTGTCTATCTATCTATCTATTTCAGTCTCTTCATATCTATCTATCTACATATATTTGTGTTTATCTATCTATCTATCTTTCTATCTAACTCTGTTCATATCTATCTATCTATCAATCAATCTATCTCAGTCTCTTAATATCTATCTATCTATCTATCTAAGTTTGTTCATATCTATCTCTCTATCTATCTATCTATCTATGTATGTATGTATGTATGTAGCTATCTATCTATTTATCTATCTATCTGTTGTGTATGTTTAGACATTCGTTTATTATTGCCTTGCATTCTCTTCTATAGAATTAAAAATATCTATCGGGATTATATTGATAGACATTTCGATATTTACATTCACACCAACACACGCACAGGCTTCTGTTGATATTGTAAATTTTCCACTCGACATAGCGACGATGGCTGGCCTTTAGGCTGTGTGACGTTGCAATTGAAGTTTTCTGACGTCAGCAATGACCTGACCCGAACTTGCAGGCCGCCTTGTTGTGTCTCTTCGCTCATGCGCAGAAAGCGTGCAAACATATGGATGGAAAGGATACGTTGTGTAGATGAGACTGTTTGATTCTTCACGTTTGGGCGTTCGTGTGTCTATGCGTGTTGGGGTCTGTATTCGCACTCAACAACACAGCTCAACAAATGCGCATTTTGGAGTTATATCAATGTATTTACGTCTTAAAAATTAGCAATTGTCTTTTTATGTCTGGAAGTTTGTTTTTTTTTTTTTTTTAACTACTCCAGACGTGTTGTAAACAACGCACTAATCGGCAGTGTCTTTTCAAAATACGCTCCTTATAGCAGTAGCGTTGTTAACGAGAGAAGAGAGTTGGATTAAACAACGTGTGTATTCCAGTATAAGTTGAGTTTTGAAGAAAATATATATAAAAAAAATAATAACCGCGAATCAATAAAAAATGAAACACATTTTGTATCAATTTAGCAATATTATTGTCCCTGATCTGGCACCTCGGTATCAGTCACTTTCCCACCACCGCAAAGTTGCCTCCCTCTGCCTTTTCTATAAATACTTTCATGGTAATTGTTTGAATGAGATCTTCGTTATGGTACCTTGTCGTTTTAAATTTAAGCACATTTAATTGGCGTCGAGATCTCATCAATTTGCAGTTGAGCTGGCTAGGTGTAACCGTAAGTTCTATGCTAACAGTTTCTTCCCTCGCACTTCTCGCTTGTGGAACTCCCTTCTTGCCAACTTTAATCTTCAAAAATTTAAGTACAATGTCAGTCGCTATCTACTGGCTTCCTGATTACTGTTTTCTCTTCCCGCACATTATTAATGTCCCTGCTTCTAATTCTTCCACACCCAGTAACACTTTGTATCTTAGTGGCTTTATTGCCTTGCATGGGGTGATACCGATTAAAAATAAAACATAGCCAAGTGAAAATAAGACGTTCATTAAAATATCTCTAGTTCTCAACCCTTTGTGAGTAACAGGATGATTCGGCGTGGGGTAACGGTTAACGAGCACGTCTTTTCATTTCTTTTTTTTCATAATGATGTTCACTCTGTGTAAGGCCCAAGAGCCACTCGGGATAGAGGGTTACAGAGTACGAGGTAGAGTTTATGCAGATAAGTGGGTAAGATAGCGGTTGACGCAAGGCATGAACAGGTTAAGATTGTTGTGATCGGGAAGCATCCTCTTGGGAGTCGATTCCACAAAGCAGTGGTTCGTTGGAAGAAGCTGCTCTAGTGAAAGGGAATGAGGGTAGTCCGCTACAATGGGCGTGGCAGGCGGCTCTTAGCCGTGAAGGTTAGAATTTTTAAAACTAAGAAATGTAGTTTGTCTGATCATTTTTCATGAAAATGAAGATAGTGCTGCGATCATTAGACTTGAACAATAAGTTCGATTCTCATCGGGTGCTCCATTCTCGTGATCTTGTGCCAAACTATGTTTTGTAGATAACATGGCGACTTGTGGCCGCGTTAATTGTTAGCAAATTAGTCTGATTGATCGTTACTACCTGAAAAATGAGTGCTCTACATTTGAGGCCTTGTATCCAAACTAAATTAAAAATACGTTGCACGGTGGGAAAACATTTAGCGCACTAATGCCTTTGAATATAACTTCTGAGTAGTGTGTTTGATCCGCACTGTGTGCCCCATAATTGTAATCTTGTAGCAGCAATATTCCTGCCTATCGAAAGTTTGACATTTGCCTTAATTCTTCTTCTTGTTATATGTTGTTCTATATTTGTCTTCAAAATATCATTAATAGATCCATGGGTAGTAAGATGAAGTGATATATATTTATTATATTTTTGTTGGGATAGAAGAATGTTATACATTAGCTTGTCTCGGGGTACATTACGCCTGTATGACTGGTCGCTCGTATCCACGAATGTATCTCTGACGGGGGTTGCTAGAAAATCCCTATTGCAGACGCCTGCTCCGTTCTTCAACATAGACTCAACTTAAGGACACATGGCACATTGCATAAAGGCATTAGTTAGATCCAGTGACAGGACCCAAAGAGTGTGAGTTCAATACCCGTTTAAGGCAGTGGAGAAATTTTAGAGGGAAATTAACAGGCGATAACTGAAAACAAACATCCATTAAACATGGCACGTGGAACTAGAACAGTCTACCCCAGTGAGCGAAATAAAGGGTTAAATTCGACATTCCAACCACCTGAAGAAGGCCGGAGCGTACAACGGCCGAAACGTTGTAATAAATATGGCGACAAAGATGAGGACAATAGTCCGAACAGTGTAAATAGTGTACATAATACCTCATCTCAGAAATATAGACAGATACTGAAGGGCCGAAACGTTGTAATAAATATGGCGACAAAGATGAGGACAATAGTCCGAATAATGTAAATAGTGTACATAATTCCTCATCTCAGAAATATAGACAGATACTGAAAGGCCGAAACGTTGTGATAAATATGGCGACAATGATGAGGACAATAGTCCGAATAATGTAAATAGTGTACATAATACCTCATCTCAAAAATATAGACAGATACTGAAAGGCCGAAATGTTAGAATAAATATGGCGACAAAGATGAGGACAATAGTCCGATTAATGTAAATAGTGTACATAATACCTCATCTCAGAAATATAGACAGATACTGAAAGGCCGAAACGTTGTAATAAATATGGCAACAAAGATGAGGACAATAGTCCGAATAATGTAAATAGTGTACATAATACCTCATCTCAGAAATATAGACAGATACGAAACGTTGTGATAAATATGGCGACAAAGATGAGGACAATAATCCGTATAATGTAAATAGTGTACATAATTCCTCATCTCAGAAATATAGACAGATACTGAAAGGCCGAAACGTTGTAATAAATATGTCAACAAAGATGAGGACAATAGTCCGAATAATGTAAATAGTGTATATAATACCTCATCTCAGAAATATAGACAGATACTGAAAGGCCGAAACGTTGTAATAAATATGGCGACAAACATGAGGACAATAGTCCGAATAATGTAAATAATGTACGTAATACCTCATCTCAGAAATATAGACAGATACTGAAGGGCCGAAACGTTGTAATAAATATGGCGACAAAGATGAGGACATTAGTCCGAATAGTGTAAATAGTGTACATAATACCTCATCTCAGAAATATAGACAGATACTGAAGGGCTGAAACGTTGTAATAAATATGGCGACAAAGATGAGGACAATAGTCCGAATAGTGTAAATAGTGTACATAAGACCTCATCTCAGAAATATAGACAGATACTGAAGGGCTGAAACGTTGTAATAAATATGGCGACAAAGATGAGGACAATAGTCCGAATAATGTAAATAGTGTACATAAGACCTCATCTCAGAAATATAGACAGATACTGAAGGGCCGAAACGTTGTAATAAATATGGCGACAAAGATGAGGACAATAGTCCGATTAATGTAAATAGTGTACATAATACCTCATCTCAGAAATATAGACAGATACTGAAAGGCTGAAACGTTGTAATAAATATGGCGACAAAGATGAGGACAATAGTCCGATTAATGTAAATAGTGTACATAATACCTCATCTCAGAAATATAGACAGATACTGAAGGGCCGAAACGTTGTAATAAATATGGCGACAAAGATGAGGACAATAGTCCGAATAATGTAAATAGTGTACATAAGACCTCATCTCAGAAATATAGACAGATACTGAAGGGCCGAAACGTTGTAATAAATATGGCGACAAAGATGAGGACAATAGTCCGAATAATGTAAATAGTGTACATAATACCTCATCTCAGAAATATAGACAGATACTGATAGATACCAACTTTTGGATTATACTGCAGACCATAGTTACAGTTTCTTGGTTAGAGCGAATAATCTAGTGTAATGAACAGTTTTGAACTAAGCTAGTACAAATTAACTCTCGGTCACGATGACTTAGGATATCATGCCAACACAACCATCGACGGCTTCCCAACCGTTCGGCCGTCCTGGGTATGTTGATGAAATACACCCGTCAGCAAAGGGAGATTTGAGGTTTTGAGGAGAATTGTACCACTTTTTAATTATTGTTGTTCCCGGGGCTGCCTTGACCTAGGGTGGTTGCACCTGTTTGGGTTCCAGCTATGGGTATATAGTAAAAGCAGCAGAAATAAATTTTAAAATGTTACCGAAGCTTACAAGAAAGATTAAATCTCGGTATTAAATGACCCACAAGCTGTTTATGTACCGTTAAACAAACAAACTGTTCCGTCAATCTAATTTCACCTTCCAACGGCGCTTCATGCTGGGATCGTCTACCCAGGATGAAAAGGTCACCGGCTTGTCAAATCGACTATGGGAAACGATCGTTCTAACCACCTCGGCCACGCGCCGGCATCATTCTTGTAGTGATGCCGATTCTGTCTTGCCCCCCCGGACGTTTCGCTTGTGTTCGACTAAGATCAGCCTGATAGATGAATAGACACAGCGACAACGTCACTCGAGTTCATTGGTCGCATTTGATGATTCTATGCCAACGAAAAGATTTCTCAAAGACGTCGTTATATTCTGTTGTCAGAATAAACACGATTGTCAGCCAAATATGAACTGATCGTCTCAAAGAACAAAAGAGAATAGTCTCTTGAAGGAAACATGTCAACAGAAGCACCCCTTTTAAAGCTATGTCTAACATAAACGCCATCGCAAATAACTGTCTCTGAAACAAGAGCAATCTTCAAATGCATGGACCATCTTAAAATTCTTCGATCAATCAAAAGCAACATTTATAAGTCCTCTATGGAGCAGTAGTCGGTAAGCTT